AGCCCCATAACTGATTGGCTGTCGCAGGGCCGAGGATCAGGTAGCTTTTGGTGATTCACCTTCTGTCATGTGGCTTCACTTCACACACACCCCCCTCCCCAAAACTCCCCCCCTACATGTTCCACCCCAGGCAGGAACCGTACAGAGGCTCCACACACTCCTCATTAGGTTGGCCATTTTGATCCACGTGACAAAGGCATGAGTGACTTCTGTTTTTCCCGTCGGCCCTTTTGTTAGGCAGCCTGAGTGTGATCCCACGCAGCTGTTCGGGGGGGGTACACACAGGACACGTTCAATTTGTGTAGTCCGGACTCTAGCATGGGGGGGGGCAATTAGTGGCTAATCCAGAAGGCCGGCCAATTAACAGCTAAAATAAACGGTGCTCCGTAGCCAATGCCCTTGGGGCTGTATGCTGTATCCATCATATGAGGAAACAAAAAAAAAGAAAAAAAATGAAACGGAGAAGTGGGCAAAAGACATGAAGACATGCGCGGGCAACCAGAAAATTTTACTGCGCGAGGATGTTCCAGAGCGTTCCGTTTTCAGGCTTCAATTTGGCCTCCATCTGGAGTCTGCACAAAGGTGGGGGGGGGGGTGCGGGGCAGGGGGGTGGAATAATAACATCTGTAGCTAAAAAGCCAGACAGGTAGTTAAGAAGCAGATTGGTCATGAATGGATTTTTTTTTCACTCTCTCTCTCTCTCGCTCTCTCTTGCTCTCTCTCTCTTTCCTCCTTAAAAAGCCCAGGGGTTAGTATTTCACTGATTACAGGGTCCCTGTGTGAATGGCCGTTTGGGTATTGTCAGAACAAAGGGCCGAGCTTCCTCTAAAGAGGTGTTAGACAAGGCAATGGATTGGACTCCACCATTAGGCTGAGTGGAGTTGCAGGTCGAGGCAGCTCCAGGGCCACGGGAAGCACCGAGCCGCTCCCAGTGCCATAGCGATCGGTCCTGCAATCTATCTCAGAAAAAAGGGGGTGGACTGGCTGATTGCCTTGGATGGGTTGCTGCATCAAACTCAGGCACTTTTATAGCCACCCAAATATTCTGTCCATGTGACTGGGGTCCTCATTCTCAACATCCGCTTCTTCATTAGGGTCTATTATTTTAGGCCTGTAGCTTTGTCGTGTCACTCAACATTTCAGGTTAAAAAAAAAATGCAAAATGTGAAGCCTGCATGTAGTTTGATTCCTGTTTCACGTAACGTCCTAAATGTCCACCACAGACTGCACGGGTCTGATTTACCAGCTATTTTAGTCTCAGGTGATATCAGATTCCAAGAAGAAGAGAAAAAAAACATCACTCAACTGGAGTTAGGGGTAGATGCTAACAGTGAATGTTGAGTTATTTGAGAATTACCAAAAACTCACAAAAAAAAACAAAGCTTCATTAACTCCTGGAACAATTTTCTGCCACATTTAAAACAAATATTTTGCTTATTTTCTAATTACCGCAATCAAACAAACTGGAATTAAGCTAGTGTTTCTAATGTACCGCTACGTGAGGATGACAGTGTAAGTGATTACATCATGTGATCTCTGGTACCTGCAGGCTGAAGCAGCTCCTTCGGGAATGGGCCCGGGAACAGTCTGCTCCCATTTGTCATCACTGACCTTAAGAGGGAAATTAGTGCGAGTGATTTTCCTCTGACGTCCAGGGAAAATCCTGACACAGATCCAAGATCTGCCAGGAAGGCTAGAAATTAGCATTTTCGATGAAATTTTATTGATTAATATCAATTTAACTTCATTATAATGGCTTCTAATGGCTGAGTTTTATTAACATATTAACATTTCGTCATTAGTGTGCCAGAAAAGATATGGTAAGGAAATCCATGCAGGACTCTGCCTGAAAGCTATATCATGCGACACACAGATCAATTTAAATGTTACACATTGTAGAAAAAAGTGTTATGATTCGAAAAGATACAACAAACAAATCCCCACAGGACTCTAGCTACGAGTCATCCCATGCGATATATGAGCTTGTTGCTGTATGAATTGCTACACGCGTTTATTCGGAGTAGAACGATGAGTCGTCTCTCACACCCTACAGCCCCTCAAAACCCCCAGGTGGCCTCAATTCAGATCAAATGACTCCAAGAAATCGACACTTGATGTGCAAAAATTAGTATCGCTCCTGGCTTGGGGGTTAGCAATTCGCCGTGACACACCTCTGCTCACTCTCTCCGTCACCCTCTTCGTGAGCGCTATCACGACCTCAGTGTGACCCGGTCCTGATCATCTGACACTAGGGCTGGGCGTGGCGGCACTGGGGGGCTGCCCATACAAATGGGGTGGGGGCTGTGACGCCTGTTACCAGAGGAAGCGCTCTCGGCACCTTCGTGCGCCCGCCGCCGTTCCCCTACGCCAGTCGCCAGCCCCTTGCCCGTCCCACACCCAGTGCCACGAATAAAGAGCAGATTCCCCACCTCCTGGGTGATACGTCCACGTCGAAGATGAAAGTAGAAGCTGGTGTGTTAGGGAGTGTGGGGTGTGGGGGGGGGGGTGACTTTCCTTAAGCAACTGCTAAGTACTTTTGTCAGGTTTAAAAGCCTTATAAGCCTTTGAACAACGGCGTGATTGCCTCTGGATGGAGAGGTCATTGTTGAGTTGCAGGGTTGGGCTCCTCTACGCATTCCTGCGACTCTGCCTGCATCAATCACCTCCTGATTCCTTCGCCGTTCCGCTAGCAAGCGGCAATTCCACCAACTGTTGCAGGTAAAGCCCCCTAACCTGCAAGCTATGGACCCCCCCCCCAAAAAAAACACTCCTCCACTCCACTTTTTAACCACCTATAGTTTTCCATCCTCATTGGCAACCAATGTGACGACATAGAGACACATCTTGTAATATGATACATTTGATCTATTTTTAAATGTTCAAAATACTTTTTTTTAGCAGATGCTTTTACCTAAAGCAGGGTGAGAAAGTCCCGGGAGCAACTGGGAGTTAAGGGCCACGCTCAAGGGCCCAATGATGACATAATTTTATCGGCTCTGGGAATTAAACTAACAACTTGCCGATCAATAAATATAATGATAATTGATACTTTATTGATCCCCATAGGGGAATTCTCTTTACGCCTCCCCCAACTTCCTCTCTGTAGATGAGAGCAAACTGCCGGCGAAGGGCAATCATCTGTAGGGTGGGTGTTAGAAGAGGGGGCCAACCTGCTGCGCCACAATCCCACCCCCACATTTGAATCTCTTTCAGCACTGGGATGGTCCCCCCCCCACCCGAAAACGGGTGCCTGGAGTATGATAAAAACGGGCTGTCAAATCAGACCTTGAAGTTTTCCATTAGCAGGCATTAGCAGCGTCGCGGCGGGAAGCTTCAATGCTAACGGCAGAACGGCGCCACTTCCGGTCCTGGAAGGTGACCTTTCCCGCCACATGGGACCCGGGAGGCTACGCCAGGCATGCAGAGGGAGCCCCAGAGGAAGAGCCGTCCCAGCAGACCTGCTCTGATCAGGGTGCTTTATAAATGATGTTTTGCCTCATTAGGTCCCCGCTACAGCAGCCAATGGTCAGCATTTAAGGAGAGACCAATTAAATTGCAGTGGCCCTTGAACACCCTCCGGCTCCGCCCGCTCCCTGACAAAGAGCTTGCCAAGGCAGTGCTTCCCAACCCGGTCCTCAGGGACGGTCCACGTTTTTGCTCCGTCCCGGCTCCCTGCCAGATAGTCCACATTTTTGCTCCTGTGCAGCTCTCGGCAGGGAAGGAGCGAAAAGGTGGACTGTCTGCCCGGATTGGGAAACACTGTGCTAGGTGTTTGTGCCGCGGACGGTCTGGGCTTAGTGCATTCAGTAATTTGGTGTGAAATCGTTTCCTTCACATCTATACAGCTGCCAGCAGTTAAAACCACCTTATCTGCTGTGTATGAAGGCTTTGGCTGGTCAGTCAGTCAGTACATCACAGTCCTTTTGGTTAAATCATATTCTGTGGATGAGGAACAAAATGAAATATCATCTATGAATTAATATTGTTTTTGAGCACTAAATGAAGAATTGGTTTTGCCTCTTGTCCAAAGCTTGTGAAGAGCTTCCCACAATGAAGAGGTTGGATACATCAAAGCATTTTCATTTCCTCCTCCGTTACAGGTATTGTTTCATATTTCGTCACATTTCAGTGCTTTCAAAGTGATGACTGACATTACAGTGCTGACTGTCATCAGTGTTATAACTGCCGTTCACGATGCATTGAATGTGTCTCATTTTTCGTTCGACTTTGTACGTTTGGCGATCCGTTCTGCGTTTCATACAAACGTAATTATTTATTTGTAAGTGTGAAATAGTAACCTCCCCGTAATTAAAGGGTAAATACATAGCGATATCTGCAAGGATTATTGCGTATATGTGCTGCCACTATATCTGTTAATAGGCATTTCACCGACATAAACAAACAAATAAATCGTAATTTTGGGCTAATTAATGTGATAATCATGTGGGATTCCGTGAAGCGGCATTTAGGTAAGTTTTAGTTAAAATCCTAATGGTTTTACTAGTTTTATCTATACTTTTCGATAGCCCAACATACGTTTCCTGGATCTTTTTTTTTTTTAAATTTGGTCAAACAAGAAAAACAACTATTACAATCTGAATTAGACTACAAACGTAAATCACACAACGGCACAAAGTGGTGGGTGGTATCTGCGGCCATTACACTGCGAGTTCAGAGGGTCTTGTAAACACTTTCACACCCCCCTTTCATTTAAATGCGGAATCAGTTATAGCACATTATTGAAAAATCAAGGCTGACAACAACCTGCATTTCAATACTGTCTGGGAAGCTGGAGTCGAATCCACAAACGTAGCGGATTCCAGAGTTTGCCAAAGTAAAGGAATTTAGGGCAAGTTTTGTGAAAAAATTAAAAAAGAATGTGATCTGACGGTATTTCAGTCTCCGTAGCAATCGAAACAGAATAAAGTATCGCGTTTGCAATAATAATAATAATAATAATAATAATAATAATAATAACATATTTTAAAAAATAAAAACTACTGCTCACTCTTATATAACTAAAATCGCGCAGTTACTTGTACCCCAACCGTGTCTTAGAAAGATTATCCACATTCAGAAGTTAGCCCGAATGTATTTGATGTAGAACAAATCCCTCAATTTGTAACCACCTCGCTTACCTCCTCCCATAGCGTAATCACCCCGACAAAGGGGGAAAAAAATCTTCAAAACCGATGCTCTTTCATAGATTACCCTATCAGGTGCAAACCGCTGACAAGTTTCCACCCACCAACAACAAGAAAAAAAACCTCTCAGTGCCCAAATCCAAAGCCGCAGACACTTCACTGACAAGCATTACTACATCTCCCGTGCACGGAGGACCGGGCTAAAACTTTTAATGCACGTTTTTATATTTGCGTTCCTTGGATAACAGTCAAGTTTCAGCTCAGAGCGAGTTATCTGCGCCATCCTCTATTCGCCAGTCATCTTGAGCTATACAGTTCTCCTGTTTTTTGTGTCTGAACAATAGACCCGAAGATTATAATATGATCTACGCAAGGTGTACATTGTAGATGTCCCCTGCAGGTATACTCGGGATTGAAGTTCCTGTGATCTTTGGAGCAGCACACTTCCAGCGTGCCCCACTGGATTTTTCCTTAACAAATAAGGGTAAACCTACAAAGCACTGCTTACAAATTAAATACTTCCCGAGCTCATCCTCGTCAATTCACGGTAACCGGAGTGAGGAGACCGGGAGGAAGATTTTTTTCCTTCTATCTGACAAATAAAAAAAAAAATCTCAAGGAAGCGACTAATGTTGCAAACAGCGGCGCAGAGTGACTTCATTAATCCATCATCACGGCGGGAGCGCAGTTCTCCTGCGGGATACTTTCTGTAAGGACGCCGGCTGCTTCCTTTTCCACGCACCTCCCTGTGGTTTTTAAAAACTGTGGAAACAGGTGTATTAGGACGACTCAAGATGTGTCTTCTCCCTTCAAGGTTCATCTACGTGTAAGGTTTCCATTTTTTTATTCCTTTCCATTTGCCCGGTGCGTACATTCTTGCCTATAGAAGTCGCTAAAACCTTGGTTTTAGTTGACGCCCAGGTACATACTTTTCCCCTGTGGTGATTTATTTTCTGCTTTTCTCTCCCCCAGGTGTTTACAATTCCTGGTCCTCTATTTCCCGCTACAGGTAGGGATATTAATGTGTATAATGTTATTCTTCAGTTTACGTTTCACACGCTTGAGCTGAGGATAAATATCTGTGGGAAAATAAAACAAAAATCCAACGATCTAGTGGCGTAGCAACAATAAACAGTTAATTATTACTGTGCAAATTGTGTTAGTGTTTTCGGTGTTATTTCACAGTTTTCTGCTGTCTTAACATAAGTTGCCCGTGAGTTCCCGCAGCCCCCCAGATGAAGTAAAAATGAGTTTTTAAGAGTCATTTCGACAGGACCTATTTTTTAACAATTACTATTAAACTACATCAAACAGTAGTGCTGCTAATTTATATAGCATGCGTTTTAAAATGCTATGTGGAAAATTGCATATAGGGAAATCTTTTTGTACATTTTATTTCAAGGCGTGAGTGTATATGCATGAGACATAGGCAGGAATATGCGTGTCATGTACATTTAGACATGTAGAAATGATGACACGATTGCAAGATTTTCATTTTCGTTGCTTATTATGGTTTTCTGCATTATGGCAGAAATAGGCCTAGTAATGTTAAAAATTGCTGCGTCTTTCTCGCGCCTTCTGATAGCGTAAGACCGGCACATGGGCCCGTTTGGCGACCGCAGTCCACATGCAGCAGAACATGTGCGCTGTAATATAGTAACTACATCTGTGACCGCAGAGATTTTTAGGTGAAGACCATTTATTAGGATAATCAAGGAAACGCTAAATTCGGCGCAGATTAATGATGGCACAGTAGCCTACTTATAAAAAGTGCTTTCCCGAACTGCTACACAGATCATGTGAGTTAAACGTAACGAAAAGTGGCGCCTAACTACAACGAGATCTGGGGTTTCGGCGCAGCTGCGAAACTAACTTTCCGTGGTAGCTGCTCGTTTTCAGGTTGCGCAACTCTTTGTTTTGTAGACCTTCATTTAAAGTGACGAGTATAAAGCACTTTTAATAATGCGTGGATTCTTGAAATTAACATTTTGATAGAAAAGGGGTCGTTAGTTCATTTTCTTGTCTTGGTGTGTTGTTTTTTTAAGTTTTATTTTTATGGTCGGCAGGTTTTTAAAACTGAATCTAAAGATTATTTCTATTGTGGTGGTTATACTATATATGACGGATATTATACGGTTATACATTATTGCGTGTAATACACGGCAAAAAATTATGTAAAAATCCAAAAGTTTATTTTATAAGCGAATATTTAATTTTACTCATGATCACTTCAGAAATATGAAATACGTATCTGGGATTCCTGCTGTCCACATTGTAAATAAATATATTATCCTGGCGTAAACTATTGTGATATTCTTGGCTGGTCTTTAGGCCTATACATAGACTACAAATACCAGAATTTTTAATTACCAGCATATAAGCATGGAAGGTTAACTGTTTGCGCTGCTTCCCACTACGGGATATTTAATACTTTATCACCCTTCGGCAAGATTGTGTGAGGTACCGAGCAGTGCGGCATTTCATGAGGAAAATCCCCAGCCTCTTAAATGCTGAATTTGCAGAAAAGTGTGTAGCATACCTGCTTGTTTGAAGTTCTTCAAAGAGAAAAAAACGACTGGTTTATAAATATCCGAACAAGCTCCAGCGTTTATACATTGCTATTTTTATAAGGTAGTTTAACTACTGACGCACTGAAACGGTGCGTAATTCACTGAGAGACTCTGTAAAATGAGACGCGCTATTCTTCTGTTACATATGGACTAATTGGTCAAACAAACATGGTTGCTGGGCCGTAATAACGAGACGCGTAAAGCTACCCAGACCGATAATAAAAACAAGACAAAACAATGTTATATAAGTGCGTGTACTTTAATTTTTCAAAAAAGTCATAATTAACAACACATGGTAAGTCTGGTTTGGATCTCTTTGCCAGTAATTAAAACACTAATGTTTTAGCTCGTTTGCGTTGTTCGCATCGCAATATTTATGTGTACACAATAGTATTTTATATAACAATTTTTACCTTTTCAATGCCACAATGGCATGGCATCTAAAATACTGGAAATCTCTGGAAGTAAACATTTTTGGCCCAAAGTAAACTCCCTCCCTCCACACGTAAATTTCATGTAAAGTAAAATCTGGTAGGTTGTTTTTTTATGATTATGATTTAAAATCTGAGAAACATGCAAATGATATGCTATTATTGACATGTGGTAAATTACACACACTAAACATACACATTACACGTGTATGTTTCTGCTCATAAAACTGCATTACAACTCATTTGGATGCCTGACTTTTCTTAGACACTTTTGAAATATGCAGTATTTATTCTAACCCATTTAATTTTTGTTTTTTATGTATAACAGGGAAGTTTATAACTTAACGTCACATATAACACGCAGTGTCCTGCATATTTCATTGTTTGCCTTACCTTTCATCCACAGTTGAGAAGTATTTCCATCTCAATGCTAAGACCATTTTTGTGAGTGCGAGTGTACTTTGTCTCCGATTTGGTAAACGTCATTAATTTGCTGAACTTAAAATAACATGGATTCTGAGTGTGTAACGTGTATTTAATTAGCCACTTGAGAGCAGCAGTATAAAATGCCATTACCAAGCAATTACTGAGCAACAAAACTGGGGAACAGGAGATGCTGGCTTGTGCTTGAGCTTCCAGAAGGTGCAAAATGCACATCTCTCTTTGTCATCTGCACATGGTGCAGCCGGCCAATACGCCGACGCAGGACAAGCGACGTTCCCTAGGTATTGTGTTAAGTTCCCAGCCACTTCACTGGCGTCCCACGCAAGTGCACAGAGAAAGCAATCGATCTGCAGACGAGCGCAAGGTGGATTAATGAGGAATTCTTTTGGACGGTGATGTTTCAGTGGGCTGGATTTTACGGCTAGTGGTTCCCAGCCACCGCGTCCACAGAGCGTCTGCCTGATTTATGGGTTGTATCGAGTCGTATCGCTTGGTGTTAACCTCAGGCTGATACTCTGTTTAACCGCACTATTATAGGTCTGGTTGCTTCTAGTGTGTGCTGGGGGGGGGGTTGGCAGAGCTTGCGTGACCCTTTTGTCACAGTTCGGTAGTTTTAGGGAATGATGCCAGATGTAAATTTAACTTTGTCTATCAGAATCAGAGGAACAGTGATTCAGATTGGCTGGAGAAACTTCTAGGCCGAACAGGACACTCTAATACTCACATTGAAATGTTCTTCGGCCATGATTGTACACATTTATGGTTCCTGTCTGGCATCACCTCACAGGAGTCTCAGCAAAGCACGGCTGACTTCCGGGTTTACATCGAGAACCACACCAGGAACCCGGACGACCTGAGTCGCAAGCAGATACGAATCTACCAGCTCTACAGTCGCACCACGGGGAAGCATGTGCAGATCCTGGGGAAGAAAATCAACGCCAACGGGGACGATGGGGGCAAGTATGGTACGCAAGTGTTCCTGTGCACTAAGAAACTCTGCAGGGACCTTGTGTTTCCGAAAACTCATTTACACTTGACCAACCAGGACGATCCTGGATGGAGATGGAGCAGGACTAGGTGATGTTCACTACCAATCAAAAGAGATTTGCATGTTACTCACTTAACATTTACTATAGTACACTCAATATTCTTTGCTAACAAATAAATTTACAGTATTTTCACCCTTTGAGTATTTTATTAGAAAGAAAATGTCATATCTTTGATTCATCAAAGTAATCTCCTCCAGCAGTTATAACAGCGAGAAAATTCCAGGCATTCTTTCTACAAGGGACATTAAATACTGCTCTGTTTCATGGGACGAAGCAGTTAACTGGTGCATTTAAAGTTAAAGGACAGCCGAGAATCTGACTACACCATCACCGTGCAACCAGTGAATAGGATGTCAGACATGCACTGTTATATACTCTTTCCATGTTATAAAGGAACCTTGTTTCATTTGACTTATTTTCATTTATAGTTTTTCACTCAATTTTTCAATGCTTAACAAGAATAACAAATCTGCAGTTTATGAAATAAATAGAAAAGTGGTTAAAAACCTGGGGATGTGCAAAGACGTTGGGCTGGTGCTGTACGTTGGTCAAGATGGATGGTGGTTATGGAGAAATCTGTAGGGGCGTGACATTGAAGAAAATATTACCTTAAATCTGCACAGCAGACGTTCTCAGAATGTACTACACAGTTAACAAAAGCCCTTCAATGTGGGCTGCCATGTTGGTACCTAGGAGAAATTATAAATAATATTTCTCTAGCCCTAAGCTTATCAGTTGTTATTTTGGCATTGTGGTCATTTGCCAATTATAAATATGCCCTTAATTATACAGCTGTACAGCAGTTGGGTATTTTGCTCATTTACAGTGTATGAATGTGCAATCGATGATGCTAACATTATTAGGTTAGTAGGCTTTTACATTGTCAGTGTGTTTGATTTCGGGTATATAACCTTGTAACATAAGCCTTTCTTACGCAGGTGATTTTCTTATAATTCTGCATTAATTTATTGCCCTGACGTGACGGGATATCTTTATTTCTGGGACATTCCTGACGTTGGGTTGCTGTAGGTGTGTAATTTTGTCTGCTGCTGGTGTGATCCCAGGGGGGGGGGTCACAGGTACATTATCTAATGTGTTCAGAGCTGCAAGTCGAAGTTGTGCGTGTGACTTTTTTTGCAGGATTCTGGATTGTTCAGTGAGACCAGGTGTTACGGGTGCTTGGGCTGGTACTGTGTTCAGTGAGACCAGGTGTTACAGGTGCCTGGGCTGGTACGGTGTTCAGTGAGACCAGGTGTTACGGGTGCTTGGGGTGTTAGGGTGTTCAGTGAGACCAGGTGTTACGGGTGCTTGGGGTGTTAGGGTGTTCAGTGAGACCAGGTGTTACGGACTCGCAGGCCGCTGGTGTGTTCAGCAGAGTGGCACAGAAGGGTGGGCTGTCTCCCCCGCATGCTTGTTAGGGCTTGAGTTGAAGCAGAGTCAGACATTCCCATAACTCCTGCCAGCAGCGCTCATTACCATACGGCTCGTCTTCTCGCTGCGAGTACGCGGCCTGGTGCCAGCACATCGAGGCAGCCGGCGAAGTCACTAAAAGTTACAGCCGGGTTCAACCTGCCCGCTCCCGCTCATGATTCCGGAAAACCCATTTTCCGGATCTGTAGCGAAGTGTATCAGCGGAACATGTCAGTTTTAAACTTGCCAGTATTGAACTGCTGACCTTGTAATTCATAACGAAGGATCTATTTTAGGTTATAAACTGGTATTAGCAGGAAGTAAAGTGATAACAGTTCAGGTTTCTGGGGAAGTTTAAGTAGAAAGGTATTTAACTCAAATTGCCTAAGTAAAAATGTGTTGTGTACAATAATTTGGGGGGGGGGGCAGTCATGTATGCAAAGAAGTAATGACTTTATATGAATAAAATCTAATCATTCAATTTACATCTTGCTGAGAGATCTACAGGCATCTACGCGATTATGACATTGCAAAGATAAAGATCCGGAAATACCAGCAGAAGTATGAGCAAGCTTGACTTAGATCTCTGATGGAGGGCTATCGCCATATTTGTCGCGGAACGGGAGGTCGGAGACGGTGTGAATGTACATGTCCGTCGCTTTCATGCTTTCCAGACCGTGCACTCTGGTTTGGGGCGGGACCTAACTGAGGCTGACTCAGTCAATTCATATTATGCTTTTTGTTTCCCCCGGCTGCAGTGCGGTTTCTGTTTCTAATTCACGTAACTGCTTAACAGCTCTCCTCCGTTTAAATACCACCTTGTTCTGTGTGTGTCATCTATCGAGACACGTGCCCCTTAAACCACAGAGAAATGGCACCTAGAGACTGGAGCGCGAGCTATCTCAGAGTTCAAGCAGAATTTTTTGTTCGAGGGTGCTTGTGTGTGTGTGTGTGGGGGGGGGGGTGTTATGGAGGGTGGCAGGACAAAGGGAATGAGAATGGAAGAGAATGTCCTCTGCTACTGTTCAGCAATTTGTCTGCACCGTCTCATACATATATAGTGTCTTCTACTCTGCTTGAGTGTCCTGAACAATGCTGACACGTCATGTAAAAAAATAATGTTGGTTCATGCCACTAAGAATCCAAATGGACCATTTGGTTTTGGGTTTCTGAACTGCAAATCCCAGTTGCAGTTTTCATAGTAAAGCGACCTGTGTTCTGATAGCTGGCTTTTTATGTCACGCTTGTAGCATTAAGTAAAACTTCTTTCCTGTCACGTTCCAGCCCTCCTCGTGGTCGAGACGGAAACATTTGGGAGCCACATTCGGATAAAAGGAAAAGAGAGTGAACATTACATCTGTATGAAGAAGAACGGCAAGATTGTCGGAAAGGTGCGTGCCGTCCCATACAGAGATCAAACACTAACTACAACTACATACATGAAGTTTGTTCCTGTGTAAATATTTTGAGGTTCTACCCAGACGTAACGCAGATGGGTGATATAAACTCAGGATTATTAGACATTGTAAAGGGGCAGTTGGACATTTCAGCACTAAAAGAGAAGAGTATCACAGTACAAAACATTGATAGCATCAGAATGTTATTATTATTCTTACGTTTCTGCTGCTCTAAAACTATCCACTACAACTAAGACACTGAGCATCTGATGTAAAGTGGTTTTTGGGCAAGACACCAAAATACTTTTCAGTTTCGTGTAACCTATTCAAAGATTCTTAGTAAAAAAAAAAAACCCTGCAAAATAATTCCTGAAATATTCAATGAAACGTGCCTCAGTTTCAATAAGCGCTAGTTTAAGGTCAACGCCTATTAATTATTCTGAGACCGGCGAAGTCCGGTTACACTGCATGTACCCCAATGCACATCTTTTCATGATGACACTTAAGACTGGAATTCACAAATTTATACAAGCTGTCATAGTTTTCCAAAAGGATGCACAGCAGACAAACCTGTACATTTTTGTTCCAGTTGGAACAACGAGGATCAGTTATGTAATCTGCGAAAGATGTGTTTACATTTCAAGACAGAACCATAAGAATTATGCAAAGTCAGGTCACATAACCGAGAAATTGCTCCAGGTTTTTGTGGAGACCATTGATAATGGTGGAGACTTATAAAAATAAAGGAAATATTTTTAGTTTACTTTGCTGTTAAAATGACTGTCAGTGGTAAAAAGGGACTAAAATGTCAAACTTAACTGCATGCAGCTGATATATATTTAGGCTTCCATCAATTAAAGATACATTTTAAAATTAGGAGCTCGTACTCCAGCCAAATAGTCTCAAGGTGACATGTTTTATGTTCCCATCTCGGTAGCTAAGTCAGCCATAAACATTCTGAACAGAAGAGAATAGCAACTATTTCATCCTCCGTTGAAAGACACATTCCATTGTTTTCCTGGCCTGTTTGACATAGACATCAAGAGCATATCAAGAGCAACTTCAATTTTGAAGGGTTGGGGTGGGAGGTATGATACCCAAATGCTTTCTCAATAGGCTCTGCTTTTGGAATCAAGGATTGAGAAGGATTCGAAAGCTTTATTGTCATTTGTGCAAGTACAAGTACAAAGAAATATAGTACTTACTTGCGTAGAACCCTTCAGATATGTAATGATAAATATCAATAAATAACAAATAATCGAAATGAGGACCAATAACATACATATGATATACAAAATACATATAACATACAATAACATAATATATGCAATATACAATAACATGCGAGTACTTCTGTGAACAGTCTTGATTCCTTAGTAGTTTTAGCAGAAGATAGACTTGAATGAATTATGTTCACGTATGTGAAACTGGTCGGCCATTTGTGTCTTGGTCTCCAGAGGTTTTTATTTGTCAAAGTGCTGCTGAAATCCCCCCCCCCCCCCCCGTGCATTAGCCGCGGGCAGAACGCGTGGGAGATCCAGGTGCTGCATGTCTGACAAGTCCGTGTTTCGTCCGCAGCTCGATGGGAGGAACCAGGAGTGCGTCTTCGTGGAGGAGTTCCTGGAAAACAACTACACCGCACTGGTGTCTGCCAAGTACAAGGGGTGGTACCTCGGATTTAACCGGAAGGGTAGACCCAAGAAAGGCTCACAGACCACACAGACCCAGCAGGAGGTGCACTTTATGAAGCGGCACCCCAATCGCAGGTTCGACCCCCTGGAGGAGTTCCGCTTCACCACGGTGACCAAACGGACGCGTAGGGCACGGAGGTTAAAGCCCATCCCCAGTACCAGCTAAGGGACCGTCGGGACCAAGTGTTCTCCCTAGTGATTCCCATCTTCTCGCCTTACGCCCTAAAGACTTAAACGACGACCATAAACTTTAAAGAAAAAGATGTTTTATTTTTATACTGGAGAAGCGTTATATCTCCCAACTGCTGGATGTTCCTGGGTTAATATAATTATAATTATTTGTCGAATTTTATTTATACTGGATAGACTGAGGAGGAAACTACGCAACAATGTTTTTCTACTATGACTTCACAGTAGTAACAGGAAACCAGTTTTCTTGTGACGGAGAAGAATCGAGGGGCTCACGCAGTCAAAAATTCACTAGAAATCCTTCCAGATTCACACGCCGAGCCCCCCCCCCCTTGAGGACGGATTCTGTATTTCCCACAGTACGGTTGAACATTTCAGACACCAAAATGGACCAAAAATAAAATGCCATGTGACAATGACATGTTAGGCAACTCCTTAGCTTTAAGTGCAATACTTCAAACTACGGCTCTGCATTCCAACATGGCCGCCATCATCTTTGTTCTGACATGTGGCAGTTCCTGGATGGAGTGTGATGAGTTGTGTTCGCTGTGCGGTTTCTCAAATTCAAGTTCTCATGCAACGTAGGATTCGGCCCGACGCCACGTGCCATTACTGTCCCAGTGCTGGGTACGTGATAGTCTCCATTCAGTAGACGGCTGGATCTGAAGCGAGCAAGTATTTCTAACTGCTGGAATAGTGGACTGACCTTAAGACCCTCGGAACCCAAAAAGGCCTGTTTGTTGGTGGCAAGAAAAAGATCTCCATAACCAGGACTGGAACCAGAACTCAACCATCTCCATGTTTCCCCAAATCCTGCTAAATCCTTTGTTTGATGCGATTATGACCTCCTAAGTATGGGGTAGTTCTTAAACCGGCAATATACACCCATAAATGTCCCCACAGAATTTACGTAGTGCTGTTTTGGGTCCTTATAACTCTTTCTTTCAGTTAAGAAAAAAGCCCCATACATATATAAATATATATTAGCTAAACCAGCACGCAAACGTGTGTCGTAATGATTCGAAGGGTCAGATTTGTTTCATAGTACATTCCCTTAGAAGCTGAAGTTCATTGACATAAAAACAGCTCTTACCTCATATGTACGTAGGTACCCAAAGGCAGGACTTGTTGGTGGTACCTGAATTTTATTACTACTTCAGTGACATATAAGAAGTAGTTTCTTACATTTGACTGTCACTTTCATGTTTAGGACGGAAATTAAACAGTGAGGGAATCCACAACAGATGGATCACATCCAAGAGAAGAAAGACCCTTCAGGACTCTAGAAATATGTGTTGATGAAATTATTTCATGTGTCATCCCAACAGAGAATTCTAAGTTATTTTTAATGCCACAGAATATTATAAATTAGTATTATGTGAGGCCAGTTCCGGTGTTTTTTGTTTTCCTCAAGGATAAATGTACCAGAACTGCTTATTACAGAAGATTGTGGAGTTATTGGCCCCAGAGAAGGTCTGAGTCTTGGTGGCAGCCATTGTTCCGGTGGTTAATGGTTAATATCCTGGGTTATCTACTCCTCTGCCCTGAGGCAGTTCTCTGTCGTGTACAAGATGCTACTAACAATATGTCACATTTATGATTTTTAAATGTATGCGGAAATAATTTTTATGACTATTATAAAATATTTATTGCCTTTCTTTGTAAATACAGCCCGATGAATTTGTTTGGCCTCTGTTAATAAAGTGAGGACTATATTTAAAAAAAGAAGCCATATTTGTCTGCTTATTTGTGCCATTTATAACAATAATGTTTCCTCTGATTGGAAGGACAGTAGTGCTTTAGGGAACGAGACCAGACTGCCCATAATAGCATAGACGAAACAAAATCAAATGTGTTTATTTAAATCTCTGCTAAAATTGATTTATACAAGACTTTCCGGCAAGGGAAAACAAAATGAAATATGATGGATCTTAATAATTAATGATAATGACACTTTATTATTTACACTTTGGGGGGAATTTCTCTTTTCGCCGACCCCCCGTTCTCCATGACACACAGACACACCTGTAGGTGAGAGGAAGCTGGACAGCGAAGGGCAGCCGACTACAGCGGCAGCCATGGAGCTGGGGGTTAAGGGTCTCGCCCAAGGGCCCGCAGATGTGATTAGGGTTAGGGGCCTCACCCAAGGGCCCGCAGATGTGATTAGGGTTAAGGGCCTCGCGCAAGGGCCCGC